GTTGGCTCATACCTACAGTCCCAGCACTTGGGAGGTCAAGGCTGGTGAACGGCCTGAGCTCACAGGTTCAAGACCAGTCTGAGTCAGGGCAAGAGTCCTTAATAGTCTACGAAGGTTTGAGCTGGAAGCGATGTAGTGCCCAAGTATTTTAAGACTAATCTGACATTAGAATACAAAATGAAGAAATTAGATTAAGATGGCCAATTACACACACAAAAAAAACAACACAAAAGTTGTGAAGTTTTAATAAAATGAACCAAAATGTTAGCTGAACACCGGAACTTGTTAGTAGACACATGCTTTGCAGTTAACTACATGTACTTTGTTTTGTCATCTGTACTGGGTCTTAATGTTGCTTAGACTGGGAATGATAAATCATTGCAACCTCAAGCACTGAGCTCAAAGGATCCTCTTGCTTCAGTCTCTCTTGCAGCTGGGACCACAGGTGAACACACCTCTATGCCTCATTTATTTGCAGAGGGAATCTCACTACATTACTCAGCCTCCCAAGCACTAGGATTACAGGTGTGAGGCACTGTACCCAATTTTGTATTTTTTGAGCCCATGATGAGGTAGGTTTGACAAAAATGGGTCACTCAGACATCTATGAATCTAGAGCTGTTGATGTGGATAGTTCATTTGCATGTGAAGTCCTATCAGGAGCACACACAATAGGGCTATTCTTTTACCTTCCCATGCCTTGAAAGTTTCATTTCTCTCTCAAACGCCAGTTACACGCTATCCAGAAAAAGCCAGCTATGGCTCAGTGCCTGTGGCTCAAGTGGTTAAGGTACAAGCCACATACTCCTAAGGTGGCAGGTTCGAATCCAGCCTGGGCCCACCAAACAATGAAGGCTGCAACCAAAGAAATAGGCGTTGTGGCAGGTACCTGTGGTCCCAGCTACTTGGGAGGCGGAGGCAGGAGACTCGCTTGAGCCCAGGAGTTGGAGGTTACTGTGAGCTGTGATACCACGGGACTCTACCCAGGGGGACAGCTTGAGGCTCTGTCTCAAAAATAAAAAAAGCCAGATTTAACTCCTACTCTAATTTCTAAGTGGAAGCTTCACTTCCACACCACCATTATTTCCACAAAGTATAATTAATAGCCATCTGAGGTCTAAGAGAGAATAGGAAGATAAATAATCGTTACACTCAAAAGGCCAAACAATTTTTATTTTCAAAAACAACTTTATTCATGACACATATTAAAAAAAAATTCCCTCCCCCTGGAAATGAGCTAAAAAAATAAACAAAATCCACCTCCCACCTCCCTGTTCCCACTTCCTCCCATTCCCTCCAAATAAAAGGGAAAAAAAAAGCAAAGGAAAAAAAACAAAACAAAAAAACTGAAAAACAAAAACACCCCAAAGCCCCCCAAAACAAGGTAGTGCATTCCCCCAGGGGGAAGGGGAATTTACACTGGAGCCGCTGGGAGCGGAACGGAGATCTTCCGGCTACAGAAACCTGCAAAGAAAGACACTCAAAACAGAAAAAGAAACACAAAAGGAAACAAAATAGATCACCAGGCAATCTGGAGGGGCAGGGAGCCGGAAAAGAGGGGTGGGGTGGGTAGTAGACCTGGCAGGACAGGAGCAGGCGGGAGGGGACTGTGAAAGATGGGGAGAAGACGGAGGGAATGTAACAAGCAGAACAGTTTGGTGTCCTTCCAGAGCCCTGGGTAAAAAAAAAACCCTCCTACCACCCATGCCCACCTACCCTTGAGCAACCCCAAGGAGGTGAAGTAGGGCAGGGAAACATGGGAAGCAGCTTGCACAGTTGAGACGTGTCCATGGCGAATCCCCAGAGTGAATGAGCAGCCCCCTGCCCCCACTCCCTGGGCCTTCCCCTATTCCCCCAAAGCAGGCCCCTCCTCAGCAGTTAGTTATGGGATTCTCCCCCCTTCCACAGTATATCTTTTTTTTAAAAAATATTTTTTTTTCCATCAAGGTCATCTTCTGTTTTTCTTTTTTTTTTTTTTTTATTCTTTTTTTTTTCCTTCTTTCCTCTTTTTTTCCTCTCTCTCCTCCTAATACACACTTTTTTTAGTAAGGGGAATACCATGATGTCGCTCTAGCCCGGCCCCTGGAAGAAAGAAGGAGAGTTAGGTGTTAACATAATCACTAGACAGTTCAGTACAAGCCCCTCCCCGTGGGCCCTTGCCCCAGTTACTGTGAAGGAAAGGGGGAAAAGAAGTTTTCAAGTATCCTAAAATTGACCCCACAATCCCAGATATAGCAAAACACCTCATGAATTTAGGGGTGGGAGTGTTTCACAGAACACTTTACCTAACAGAGGCAATAAAATGCATCTCAGATACAGGGGCAAGAGAAAGGACCCCACTATTCATCCAGTTTTCCGTTCTCCACGGCATTTAAACCCTAGGCCCTCATCAATAGATCCTCCCCAACTCCTGGGAGCACACAGGTAATGTTATGGGAAGCCAAGGTTTATATGCCTGATCTGTCTATTCAAATATAAAGAGAAAGAAGTAAAGTGAAGCAAAAACATTAACTCCACACTAGTCCAATAACAAAGTTAACCTTGTAAGACTGACTCAAAGAGTATATATCTCAAAATCCTCCCACATGATTATTGGGGAGGATCAACTAGCCTCTGGTATTCTTCCAAGGGAGGGTCAAACTTCAGCCTCTCCCTTACTCTGGGAAAAGTAGCCATTTCCAAGCAGTGCTTTCACTGCCCTGAGGCCCTGTTCTTCCTGGCTTTCAGTGTAAACACCTTCATTGCCACCAACACCCAAGAAAGTATCTCAGGCTAGATGGAGAGATCCAGCCCTTATCACCAATTCCTGCTCCAGAAAAGATGAGAGAGACTGGCCTCCTGGCCTGGCCTGCAACTACCTTCCTCACCCTGCACAGGCAGGAGACCAATTCCCTGGGCAGGGAGGGGAAGGGAGGGAGGTTCCTCAGATCAGGAGAGAAGGAAGCATACAGGGCTCATGGGAGGCGGGGGAGAGGAGCAGCCCATCTATCCTGACCTGTAGACGCGACCCCGGGGCCTGCTGTTAAAACCACTGTAGAATCGAGAGCGGGAACTGTTGTAGTTGGTGGTCCTGGCACGGTAGCGGGCTCGTGGGAAACCCCGGTCTGTTGTGCTGATGCCTGGTCTGTTGGTTCGTTTTGGGATCACCTGAGAATAAAGGACATACAACTGAAACCCTTGGAGTCAACCTGGAGAGTTCACATATAATGAGAAAAGCAATGGGTATAGGCTTACCTTGATTTGTCTTCCTCTAAATAGGGACTCATCTAAGGCCAGGGAAGTCCTCACTGACTCTTTGTCTGAGAACTCTATATATGCAAACCTAAAAAGTATAATTGTCACTTTCTCTCTCTGAAATTACAGATAGCTCAAAGATCAAATTCAACTTGCAGACATGTTAAGTACGATGTTTACTTTTTTTTTTTTTTTTTTTTGAGACAGAGCCTCAAGCTGTCCCCCTGGGTAGAGTGCCATGGCATTACAGCTCACAGCAACCTCCAACTCCTGGGCTCAAGCGAGTCTCCTGCCTCCGCCTTCCAAGTAGCTGGGACCACAGGCGCCCGCCACAACGCCCGGCTATTTTTTGGTTGCAGCCGTCATTGTTGTTTGGCAGGTCCGGGCTGGGGATTCGAACCCACCACCTTAGGTGTACATGGCTGGCGCCTTAGCCAGTTGAGCTATAGGCGCCGAGCCGATGTTTACATTTTTAATAATTTTTTAAAAAGTATAAATGAAACTAATCAATATTTTCAACTATTCTTTAAATTTTAAAAAACAGGATGCTTACTTATCATGTTATATAGGAAAACCATAAAAAAAATAAATAGGACACACAGAGCCTATATTTCCATATGGCCTTAACAAGCTGCAGCCAAGAAGCTGCCCCTCCCCTTCTAGTTTGTGATCCCACCAGCACCTAGCTTTTTTTTTTTTTGGAGACAAGAGTCTCACAGCAACCTCAAACCCTTGGGCTTAATTGCCCTGAGGCAAATCTCTTGCCTCAGCCTCCCAAGTAGCTGGGCCTACAGAGGTCCACCACAACACCTGGCTATTTTTGTTGTTGTTGTTATTGTTTTAGCAGGCCCTGGTGCGTGTGGCTGACACCCTAACCACTGAGCTACTACTGCCGCCAAGCCTAGCCTTCATTTTTGTTACCTGTCTGGCCTCTGAAAGCATCTATGTGCAAATCCTAATACACATCAACATTAATGTCATTATCTTAAGAGACAAAGACCACTTGTTTTAACTTCTTGCTCAACATAAAACATTTACCTCCTTTTACACTGTGATTAAAATGATCTCAATTTACTCCCCTACTTACCCTTTGGGATGGCCACTAAATTTGTCACAGAGTATGGTAACACGGTTGACTGAACCGCAGCCATGAAAGTGAGCTTCTAGCTCTTCTGCTGTTGCACCATAGTCCACCTGAGGAGAGAAGAGACATCTCACAGGTACTGGGCAAACTCCTATCCCAACAGGTATCCTGTCTACCCTTTGGTCTGGGCCATCTATACACACCAAGGCACATCAAATTTGGTTCTCAAAGGAAATGACCCCTAGTCCTTCTAACCCCAGAGCCTTTGCTAATTACTCCAGTACCTTTTACCTCCTCCCAACTCCCTCCTTCTATACCCCAAAACACCACCTATCGTGGAGATGTTCCTTTCAAGACAACTAATAATTCCCCTAATAAGAATTTTCCCCCAACCCTTATCAGAGCCCTATCACATACATTGCCAACATAGATGGAACGGGCATCAGCCTCCATCTTCTCTTCAATGGACATGATCACTGGGCCAGCTAAATAGGAAAAAGAAAAAAAAGCATAAACATCTGTTTTCTACGTAACCAATATATGTGCTCCAGCCACCAGCACTAGACTATAAACTCACTGAAGGCAAAAATTTTGGTCTATTCTACTTCCTGCTTTACCCATTACCTAGGATAGTATCTAATACATAGGTATACAGTACTAAATAGTGGAAAAATTAAAAAATACACCCCCAAAAATCAAAGAGAAGAGTGTAGAAATCGCCCCACTCCCAAATCAAGTCCCTACCAAATTGCTTTGGTTGAAATGCCCTGAAAAATAAACAGAATTAAGTGGCCTGAGACTCAACATCTCTAGATTAAAGAGGAAGTCCCCTGCAGTTTTCTCTTAGAAATACTAACTAGAAGAATCTGCAACTGAAAGAAAAACTATTAGACTTGAAGGTCAAACGCCAGCCGCAACCTCCACAAAGAAAGATAAAGGTAGACTAAGAACAAAGAACATCACAAATACATATAACAGGGACAAAGGGAGGCACAAGACTACTACCACCGATACACAGCTTCTCTCTCACAAAGGTCAGAGGAACACACAATGGACTATGACCGCAGCACCTGCCTGGTAACTGCTCAGATCATCAACTCCAGGGTGCCAAGCATCTAATCCCATATCTCCCCAGCTCCCCATAACCCAAGAACCCGGGTTCCCCGGGCAACCGCCAGTTACTCACCATTGCCTGGAGGTGGACTCATATTCATCTGCTTCTCTACCTCGTTCTGTAGCTCTTTTAGCTTCTCAGCTTCTTCCTCCATCTCCCTGACCCGAGCTTTGATCGCTTCCAGCTCCTACAATAAGTGGGAAGGGTATGGAGAAGAGCTTAAGAGAAACCAAGGCAGGGATTGTGCCCTGCTCTCAATCGACGCGCGGCCGCAGACATGCTCGGCCATTTCCCTCGCACCACGCGAGGGTCGTAATGAAAAGAAAAGCAAGCTACCCTCTCTAGAACACCACTAGGCACCCATGATGCCCGAATCAACCCGGCCAGGCCCCTTGTAAAGATCGCTGACCAGAGCACAGCCCGGCCCCAGCCACGTTATTCCCCGCCCAACCCCACCCCCCGCCTGCCTCCCGCTCGCCCGAGTTCCAGGCCTCCTGTGACCCGGCCCGCCGGCCAGCTGCCGGCCTGCTCGCTCGCCTTCCTTCCCTCACCGGGTCCTCAATGGCGCCGTCCCCCGGGTCACCCTCGACCAGTCCCGGCTCCTCCTCCTCCTCCTGGCTGCCGGGGGCTCCCGAGCCAGGCCCAGGGCCCGGAGCTCCCGGGGGGGCGCGGGGCCGGGGCGGCTCCTCTTCGGGCTCGGGCTCTGGCTCGGGCTCCAGCAGCAGCTCCTCAGGCTCCAGTTCCTCAGACTCCAGGCCGTTCCCGTAGTCCCCTGCGCCCCCCGGGGCCCCCTCCCCGGCCTCCCCACCGGCCCCGGGCACAAGATGGCGCCGCCGCCCCGGCCCGGAGCCCCGACCGCCCGCAGCCCCCGCTGCTGCTGCCGCCGCCGCCGCCGCCGCCATCGCCGCTCAGACTGGGGCCCGCCGCCCGGCGATTGGAGAGCTGCGCCGGCCACGCCGAGGATTCATTAGCCAAGCAGCCTGCCCGTCACCACGCGCTAGGATTCCATTGGAGAATATTACTTGGCAATCAAATAAGACCCCACCTCCAAGGCGGGATACTGCGCCAAATTCTCAAATCCCGGTAGGGGAAGTCTGTCTGTCAATCAACACACGTCCCACCTCCCCTGTAATCCTTAGGTAACAATACCGCCACGCTGTGACGACATTCCAGCTTCCCTCTGCCTATAGGCGGGCCCGTGAAGCATAGGACGCCCCGTGATTGGCCCCTGAGTAGGCGACTGGAAAGGACCAATGTTTCGATCGCCTCACTGCAGTGGCCCATTCTCGGATGCTGGTTGGCTGGCGAGATTAGAAGGCTGACACCCATTTCGTGGCAGGTGAACCTTGCCCCCGAACGGACTTCTGGGCTTCAAACTGGGGAAACCCGAGTCACGTGACTAATCAGGTCTTAGGGGGCCGCCATCTTGATGCTACTGGTGGACAACCAGCGAGCAGTTGGGAGGCCGAAGCGGTTTCGGGAAACTTGAGAACAGCTGTAGATGGGATGTTGCCGGAAATGGAGCACTCCAGGAGAGAGCTTACTGGTACCATCCAGGATTTTAGTACGAGCTCTACCAAACCAGAAAGCAGGGAGGAACCCTCACTTCAGAGCTACCAGACGCGAGTGCTGCCTGTCCTGTCCTCTTGCACGGGCCTTTACAGGACATCTGCTCCCACCCAGTTTCAGTTTGTTTCTTCTCTTTCCTGAACTGTTAGCTACACACACCTAAGGGGTCTCTCAGCTTCCCGTGCCACCCCTCCATTCCGCACCACCGCCAGCCTGTCTCCCCTTTGCTATTCAGGTAATGTGAAAACTTGCGGTGCCTTAGACACTCTAGTATCTGGCTACTTAACAAATGTTTACTTCCACACTCCTCGTTACAGTGGATCTGTGCCTCACATGTAGTCCCCTTCAAGCAGACCAGTGCAGTACCCAGCATCACCTCCTGCGAAACCTTCCACCAGCTTCCCCTCTTTTCCCGTGACAAATGGAGGGCCTACCTCCGCTGTGCGGCTTAATGGTTTTGTGCTGCTTTCCTAACTAGATTATGAGTGCCTGCAGACCAGGGGCTGAATTCTGTTGATATTTGCTTCTCCACCGGCCGGCAACATACCTAACACATAAGTGTCCCACTTGGATGTGCTTGTTTGTTTGAGAGAAGAGTCTCACTATGTTGCCCTCGGTAGAGTACTGTTGCGTTACAGCTCACAGCAACCTCAAACTCTTGGGCTTAAGCGATTCTCTTGCCTCAGCCTCCCAAGTAGCTGGGACTACAGGTGCCCGCCGCAACGCCCGGCTTGTTGTTGTTGCAGTTGGTTTAGCAGGCACAGACCCAGTTCGAACCCGCCAGCCCCGGTATATGTTTGTTATGCAAAAGATAGATAGATTGGGAATCTGGGTGCCACCCTTCATCTTCACTTTCTAAGGCCCCTTTCTTAGCCTCCAGATCCCGGAATTTCTTCGGGCAGGTTCCCTCTACACCCCTGTACCTAGAGAGATCAACAAGACCTAGCTCTGGAAGCCAGGGTTGCCACATTTTAGCAGTAATCCTACACGTTTGTTTAAAAGGAAAGAATGGTGGTGCTAAGTCTGCAAGAGGAATTTTTGTAGGCAGACCAAGCTATAATTTGAAAAGCCAGATTTTACATGAGCACAGCCAAAGCAGGGGATCTGGACAAGAGGAGATCCCCATTAGCAAACAAAAATATCAAAAGCAAGTCATTATACCCCACTCTTCCCCTCACCGCCCCACTTTTCTTCACAATTTCTTACCTCGGAATCTGGGCATCTTGGAGCAGAGTCACAGTCGCTTAAGATTTCACTGAGAACTACTTCAGCCATTTCAGCTCCAGTGATCTGGGAGAACTAAAGTTGAGCGCCGAGGACAAGCACTAATGATTGAGTTTCCTGGAAGAAAGGTCTTTTATACTGATCTTAACCTAGTCATGATTTGAGTATCTTATTGGTTCCTAATTGAAACAAGCCAACTAAGGGAAATGGAATTTTTTTAAAAAATGCCTTTGAGGGCAGCACCTGTGGCTCAGAGAGTAAAGCGCCGGCCCCATATACCGAGGGTGGCGGGTTGGAACCCAGCCCCAGCCAAACTGCAACAGCAACAACAATAATAAAAATAGTCCGGCGTTGTGGCAGGCGCCCCCTATCTTCCCAGCTACTCGGGAGGCTGAGGCAAGAGATAGCCTAAGCCCAAGAGCTGGCGGTTGCTGTGAGCTTTGATGCTATCGCACTCTACCGAGGGGAACAAAAACGAGACTCTATCTTTAAAAAAAAAAAAATGCCTTTGAATCCTAATTGTGTTGAGCACTTAATTTTGTAAGATCCCCCCCCACTATCCCACTGAGTTCTCACAACAACTATGAAGAAAATAATTTGCATAAATTAATCTTTTTTAGAGAAAAAGGCTTAATGAAGTAATTTGCCTATGTTATCGAGCTAATATAAGTGTGCAGGAAATTCAGAGCTAGTCTTCTAAATTCAGATCAAAACTGCTATAAGATTTGCTTTAATACACAAAAATTATGTATGATCCTGAAAACTGGAAAAATACTAAATTCCAACAAGTTTAAGAAAACTATACTTACATCCAAAGATTATTTATGCACCTATTAAGAAGTTTACGCAGTGTGATAAATATGCAAAAATAATTTTGTTAAGCCAAAGAAGTAGAATGTAAAATTATAAATAAATTATGATTACAACTGTGTTTCTGGCTGAACGGGGTGGCTCATGCCTGTAATCCTAGCACTAACGGGAGGCCAAGGCAGGTGTATTGCTTGAGCTCGCAAGTTTCAGACCAGACTGAACAAAATCGAGGACCCGTCTCTACTAAAAATAGAAAAACTGAGGCAAGAGGATCACTTGAGCCCAAGAGTTAGAAGTAGCTGTGAGCTGTGATGCCACAGTACTCTACCCAGGGTGACAGCTTGAGGCTCTGTCTCAAAAAACAAAAAACCCTGTGTATCTGATTTTTAAAAAAGATGGGCATGGGTAAAAAAGAAGAACCTTGGGCTGCACCTGTGGCTCAAAGGAGTAGGGCACTGGCCCCATATGCTGGAGGTGATGGGTTCAAACCCGGCCCCGCCAAAAACTTCAAAAAAAAGAAAAATACAAGAAGCAGTGCAATTTTTCTATTTGGGAACATAGAACAAAAACTTTTAAAAATTTGAAATTTTTAACTCAGCAATGCAATTTCTTACACTCTGTTCTAAAGAAGTAAGCTAAAAAGTGAATAAACATTTGTCAATGAATGTGTTTATCAAAGTGAAAAATATAAACAAACATCCAAGTGGGCATTGAAATTATTGTACATAAATGTAATTTTATATAATTATGCTTTCAAAATATTTTAGTGAAAAAAGTTTGCAATAAGATGGCAAGCAAAATTGCAGTATACAACATTGTACGGTATGATCACAAAAGCACAGACAAAGACTGGAAAGAAATATGCTAAAATGTTAATAGCAGTTCTCTCCAGGTAGCAGGATTATGATTAATTAGTTTCTTTATAATTTTCTATGTTCTAATAGGCCAAATAGAAAAATCTAGCAATATAAGACAAATGTAAGCATTAAAAAAATTTTGTACATTCTACAAATTTTCCAGTCACTATATGTTTTGATAAAAGCACTCCAACTTCCAAACTGTCTCAAAAAAAAAAAAGATACCTGAATGATGGCTTGGGAATTAAGATCCCTATTAGACTGTAAACTGAAAAAAGCAGGGACACCATCTTAATTATGTATGTATTAACTTTGACTATCTATGCTCAGTAAATGCTAATTCAATAAGTACTCTTTTTTTTTTATTGTTTGGGATTCATTCAGAGTACAAAGAAATAGGTTACACTGATTTGTTTTTATTAGTTAATAAGTGAGCTTATTTAATATCTTGCCTGTTGTTGATGCATGGAGAATAACAAAGAAATTTTTTTCTGAGAATGAATTTCTTAAAAATTAGTATGAGACAGCACCCATAGCTCAGTGGGTAAGGGTGTCAGCCATATACACTGAGGCTCATGGGTTCAAACCCAGCCCAGGCCAGCTAAAACAACAATGACAACTCAACAAAAAAATAGCCAGGCATTGTGGCGGGTGTCTGTAGTCCCAGCTACTTGGGAGGCTGAGGCAAGAGAATTGCTTAAGCCCAAGAGTTTGAGATAGCTGTGAGCTGTGATGCCCCGGCCCTCTACCCAGGGTGACAGCTTGAGATTTTGTCTCAAAAAAAAAAAAAAATTAGTATGTAACAATGTGAGATTCACCCATTATGAATATGATTCTCTTTAAGTAGTAACCCATAGAGGACCACAGAGTTTTAAAAATACTGAAAATTCAGTGATGGTGTGCCTCAGAAGAAGGGAGAAATGTGTTAATAGAAGGAAATGGTCAGTGGAGCTGAGAAAAGGAAGAATTAAGGAATAAAAATAGGTAAGGAAATCAAGTTTTGCCCAGAAAGGAAATGGTTTCTCACTGGAACAACATAAGTATTTGGCCTCTTAATAGTTTCATCCCTATTTTATTATAACTCCTGCTTTGAAATTTTACAGGTTACAATAATTCTCCATGGGCTGGGCACAGTGGCTCACATCTGTAATCCCAGCACTCTGGGAGGCTGAGGCGGGTGGATTGCCTGAGCTCACAGGTTTGAGACCAGCCTGAGCCAGAGTGAGACCTCATCTCTAAAAATAGCCGGGCACTGGGGTAGGTGCCTGTAGTCCCAGCTGCTTGGGAGGCTGAGGCAAGAGAATCTCTTGAGCCCAAGAGTTTGAGGTTGCTGTGAGCTGTGACACCATAGCACTCTACTGAGAATGACAAAGTGAGTCTCTATCTCAAAAAAAAATAATAATTCTGTATGACATAGAACTAGACAGCTTATAGTGACATATGGCTATTGAACACCTGAAATGTGAGAAGATGATTTTTAAATGTGCTGAAAGTACAAAATACACATCATATTTTGAAGACTTCATAATGAAAAAGAGAATTTGAGGCTGGGCACTGTGGCTCACGCCTGTAATCCTAGCACTCTGGGAGGCCAAGGCAAGTGGATTACCTGAGCTTACAGGTCTAGAGGAGCCTGACCCAGAGTGAGACCTTGTCTCTAAAAATAGCTGGCTGTGGCAGCAGGCACCTGTAGTCCCAGCTACTTGGGAGGCTGAGGCAAGAGAATCACTTGAGCCCAGAAGCTTTTTTGTTTGTTTGTTTTGCAGTTTTTGGCTGGGGCAGAGCTTGAACTCGACACCTCCAGCATATGGGGCCGGCGCCCTACTCCTTTGAGCCACAAGCACTGCCCTAAGCCCAGAAGTTTGAGGTTGCTGTGAGCTACAATGCCAGAGCACTGTACTGAGGGTGACAAAGTGAGACTTTTATCTCAAAAAAAAGAAAAAGAGAATTTGACACAACTCATTAATAAAATTGTTTAATATTAATTATATGGTGAAATAAATTTTTATATACTGGACTAAATAAAATATTAAAATTAGTTTTATCTATTTCTTTTTGCTTTTTTTTGGCTGGGGCTGGGTTTGAACCCACCACTTCTGGCATATGGGGCCGGCACCCTATTCCATTGAGCCACAGGTGCCACCCTCTTTATGCTTTTTTAATGAGGTTAGTAAAAAATGTAAAACTACATATGTGACTTATGTTATATTTCTTTTGGATACTGATGATAAAGAACCTTGGAACCTTTATCATTTTCTCATCTCTACTTTGGAGTAGACCCAATTATCTTTTAATGTGGTCTGGCCCTGCTTACCTTAACTCTCTCAGTCGGCCCATGTACAGAAGTAGGGTGGCCATTTAAATGTGAAGGAGTTACGTTGGGCTGCTCAACTTCCAATCTGCTTGGTTAACTTTTTAAAAACTTTGTACCTAAAAAACTTGTTGTAATACACATATATGAAGGTGTGTATTTTCATGTGTTCACTATAATACAGCAAAAAGGACAAATCACCCATAAAATCCACCACTCAGAGATAACCATTAATGATATTTTGGCATATACTCTTTCTAAAATTTTTAACATACAGAAGCATCTTTCCATGTCAATAAATATATTTTTCCACTCTAATTATCCATGGTTTCACTCCAAATTCAACTTACAAATGATGCTTCCCTGATTTCTTGATTTAAAACTGAAATCTAAAGCCAGGTGCAATGCTCACGCCTGTAATCCTAATACTTGGGAAACTGTGGCAGGTGGATTGCCTGAGCTCATGAGTTCAAAACCAGCCTGAATAAGAGCAAGACCCCATCTCTAACAAATAGCCAGGCATTTTGGCCGGCACTTATAGTCTCAGCTACTTGGGAGGCTGAGGCAACAAGATTACTTGAACCCAAGAGTTTGAGGTTGCTGTGAGCTAAGATGCCAGGGCACTCTACCGAGGGTGACCAAGTGAGACTGTCTCAAAAAAAAAAAAAAACCTGAAATCTATGTATGTATGTGTGCGTGTAGGTATGTATATGCATGCACACACACACACACACACACACACATATCTCCCTTCAATGAATTACTTTTTTCTGTAGTATTCATCACCTAACACATTATGAATTTTGTTTATCATTTGTTTATCTCTCTTGCTAGGATGTAAGCAACATATGGACAGAGATACGTATCTGTTCACTTTACCTCAGTGCCTAGAACTTGCCACACAGATGATGATTAAATATTTACTGCATGAAGCCAGGCCCAGTGCCTCATGCCTATAATCCTAGCACTCTGAGAAGCCGAAGCAGAAGGGTCCCTTGAGCTCAGGAGTTTGAGGCCAGCCTGAGCAAAAGTGAGACTCCATCTCTACTAAAAATAGATTTAGCTGGGCATTGTGGCAGGTACCTGCAGTCCCAGCTACTCAGAAGGCTGAGCCAGAAGGATCATCGTTTAAACCCAGGAGGTAGAGGTTCCTATGAGCTAGGCTGATGGCACTGTGAGTAGCAGTGAAACACTGTCTCAAAAACTAAAAAAAAAAAATATATATATATATATATATAAATAAATCACTACATGAATGAATGACTGTATGAATAAAGGACTACTTAGCATTCCTTTATATTTCCTAGTTGAGTTTTAAAATAATTTATATATTCCTATATCCGTATTTAAGGCAGCTTTTAAAGTTTTCAAAGGATTTGCTATTAAGTAAAAGCACAGAATATCTATAACCCATCCATTTGCTAGAAATTGTAACTAAATGTTGCCCAACTTTATCAAAAATGCCATTTGAAAAAATAACATTTGTGGAGAACTGTCTTAAGGAAACATAACTGATCTGTCCTTTTAGGTAGTCTAAGGTCTAGGCCTAATTAAACCAAACCATCATAGAGCAGCAAATTTGGGCTAAAGTGTGACGGGCCTGATAGAACAAGTTTAGGACCTTGTGAATCCCTATCTGGTGTTTTTAGAAGAAACAATGGTGCAAAACTCAACATTGTATTTTGCTAATAGGAGTCACAGAGTACTATATCACTCAGTGTCTTCTCAGAAAAGCCACACACAGAAAAAATTTTTGACCCTCTTAAGTAACTAGCAGGCTTTTATAAATCTTAGTGGAACGTGAATTGCATTGCGTTTTTCAGTTTGCTTTAGCTGTCAAGAAACTCAGGGCTGAATTCATAGACTAGCTTTACTATTTGGGAATACTACTTGTAGAATGTTTTTCTGTGCATTAGTTTTCATTTTGCTGTCATAATCAATTTTCCCTCTACCCCAATACTTTAAAAATCTATATTTTCCTATCGTCTTTTGTATTATAGAAAGATGTTGCAAATGCTTTTTGGAACTTGGCAAATATAAATCAATCATCAAATCAATTGCACTACAGTAAAGATAAATGCACTGGCTACCATACCTGATGATAGTAACTATTAAGAACATCTAATTCTCTTTCCAACCTAGTGCCATATTCATCAAACCATTCTCTGATTTTATATGGTTTCCCCTATAGATGTTTCTGTAGGGAGAAATTAGAAAGGCAGCACTCTAAGCACTTACATTTCTCACAATTTAACACAAATCTAAAGACCAATTTATTGCACTGGATTATAGAAAGACTAGGATCACTATTCCTGTCAGACATGATTTTGGTGTGGCCCTGGTACAAAGGGCTGAATATTCCTGGAGATTCCAATTTAGCAGTTTGCATTAAAATGGCTGAAACCAAATTTCTCAGGGGACCAGGAAAGGAAGCAGGGCCTCCATTTTTTGTATTTTAAATTTGAAGTAGACACAAGGCATCACTTGGAAATACTCATTACCACACACTTCTGATTAGAAGTTGAACCACCGGGCGGCACCTGTGGCTCAAGGAGTAGGGTGCTGGACCCATATACCGGAGGTGGCGGGTTCAAACCTGGCCCCAGCCAAAAAAAAAAAAACTGCAAATAAATAAATAAATAAAAGATTTTAAAAAAAGAAGTTGAACCACAACTGGGAACTTGATTATTAGCATACATATATTTTTAGTAGGCTTTCTGATTTTTCTTTTCTTTTTGAGACAGTCTAAAGCTGTCACCCTGGGTAGAGTGCCATGGCATCATAGTTCATAACAACCTCCAACTCTTGGGCTCAAGTGATCCTCTTGCCTCATTCTTTCTATTTTTAGTAAAGACAGGGTCTCGATTTTGCTCAGGCAGGTCTTGAACTCCCAAGCTCAAGCAATCCACCTGCCTCAGCCTCCCAGAGCGCTAGGAATACAAGCACCAACCACCGTGCCTGGCCTTGGTAGGCTTTCTTTGTTTTGTTTGTGGCAATTTCAAATACCATAGACATATATACACACCTTCTGGGGCTTGGGTTGGGATAGATGGAGTTCTTGTCTTAGGACATTTGGCCAGGGTGGAAGTAGGGTGAGAAGGATGGGAGAAAAACTGATTTTCTTTTTAATTATCCCAACACTTTCCCAAATCTCTGTTAATCTAATTCTTACCCTTAACAAGGTCATGAAGAGATTAGATCAAGAAATGTCCTGACCCCCAGGCTATATAGTGTAGAAGTCACAAACCCTGTTCAGTTCTTCTCATTAAACTCTGGGCTTTATTTATTTTTTTTAATACGACAATTACATATTACACAAAAATAAAAGTCAAATGAACTTGGTATTTATAAATTATTAAATAAAAATACAGGAATATATATTTATATTTATAGAGCTTTTTCTTTTCTTCTAAACTAACCAAATCTGTTCTCTCGTTTTATGATTTAAAAAAGTAAAATAGTGTATGTATGCCCTAGAATAAGTGGGGAGTGGGAGAGTAGGATTAATAATCTCAGGACCGAGTTGCCCTATTTCCGCTCCTTCCTTGGCCTAAGTAAAGTCCCTATTTGTCCCTTTGGGCTCTGGAAAGCAAGAAACACCCTCTCCGCCTATCGCCTATTTCATCTTTGAAAAATGGCAATTATATTTATTTCCCTTATTTTTTAAAAAATGAAATGGATTTAAAAATTGGGAGCCATACTCAGCCTTCTTGGCCAAGAGCTAATCCCAAGGAACTATATGGCTCTAGAAGAGAGTCCCTAGTTTTCCCTGACAGAAGAGTCTCTGGGGTTTCCACTGCTCCTCCAACTAAGAAGGGCAGGAACAGGTCAAAACTACCCACTGTGGTCCCATCCAAGCTATACTTCTGGGAATCCAGACCAAGCCCTTTACCCTTTAAGAAAATAGCTTCTCCTTCCACTCAGGTGTGAAGGTCTCAGAACAGAACATTTTGAATTGGGCCATGGTCCCTGCTGTCACTGTTTGGTAAAGGCCCACAGGAATGCTAATCAGAATAGGCATCCTGTGGTAGAGGGTAGGGTGAAGAGTCTGCCCCAAACCTGGGGGAGCACAGGCTCCAATTTGGAGCTGATGGTCTAGTCAGTGGTTTTCCAACTTTTTCAGCAACAAACCCCTTAATGCAAATAAAATCTTACCCTGAACCCCGATATATAAGACAGCTACAAGGAGAGCTGTTCTGTTTGAGGGCAAGCTGCCCAGACTGCTCAGCTCCCCACCCCTTTCATCTCCCCAAGGACTCCTGAGGCAACCCCTAGAAAACTTTGGGGCTGTGCCAAGCAGTTTGAAAACCACTGGCCTAGTTTGTCCTGAGCAAGTCAGAGACCCCCCACCCCAACTGCTTGCCACAGACCAGCTCTGAGTTTCTGGTATCAGCATACTCACAACAGACCAAGTAGCACATGCAGTCTACCACCTCCCCTATAAATACCATTAAAAAGTACAGCCCTCTCTCAAAAGCAAAAGTCTGGACTAAACCCCTGAGGCCAATTTGGTCCCACATTCTAGCGAGCACAACTACATTGCCACATTCTGGGACCAAGTGAAAATTTCCGAGAAGAGTCAACCACGGTCTGGCTAAGCTGGTCAGTGCTCAGGATCATGGTCAGGGTTCTAGAGCACTGTGTCAGAAAGTCAGCATTGGAGAGCAGCAATTTTAGCACCTTGGAAAGTGCAGCAGTGAGGTCTGGCTCAGGGCATGCATCTGGGAGTGAATCATTTCTTCCTCAAAAGAAAAAGCTATAATTTGAATCAGTTCTAGAGGACTGTGAGTTCTAAAGTTATCCTCAGACTCTGAGGTGCAGAAAAGTAACACCCATGCAAAAAGCGTGGCTTCAAAGAAAACATAAATGCTTCTAGGTCATAGTAGGTACTCTAGAACCCTTACTCTTGGCCCCGATAAAGCAGCACCACAGCCCACCACACAGAATAGGCCAGTCACAGAGTACCCGTCACCCTACACTCATGGGGTTCAGAGCTGGAATGGTCCTCTCAAGGCATCAACCGTCTCACTGAGACACAGTGCAGGACACAGACTGTATTCTAGATTGGCATTTATGTCTACCCCCTAAAGGAAAATAAATTAGGGCCCCAATTAGAGTGTAAGTTTGGATACAGAGATCCCAGAGACAGGGTACACTTCAGGCACCATTGTGCCTCAGTGTAAGGGAGGTTGGCAGGCAAGTCCAGCTACCTAAGCCTCGACCCACCCAGGCTCCACAGCCCTGCCCTCTGTCAGAGCCCAGGAGGCAGCAGCAAGTGCGAGATGCACAAGGAAGGGGGATGATGAAGGAACAAGGCCAGCTGCAGAACCACTCTGGTCTCCAAACCCCTATTGACTTTCTGCAGAGAAATGCCAGAGCCCTCCTTCTGATACACTGTTTCTCTCTCAGCCTTGAGGCGTCCAGACAAGGGGAGGGGAAACGTGGGGGTGAGGGCTGGAAGGAGGAACAGAGAACGGCCCCTTGTTCTTGTCATTGCAAGAGGGAATGTTTTCTCCTTGAAAAGTCCCACCACCACCAGATTAGACAAGCAGCCCAGCATGCACACGTGCACATGCACACCGGATCCAAGCAGTCCACTGTCACTGACCTTTCCCTATCACCTGAGAACCTTGAGCTTCCATTCCAAAGGGATGTGCCTTCTGTGTTCCCCCAATCCTGCTCCTCCAATGGAGACGCAACCCCTTCTACAAGTCCTTTCCTCAGGGCTACAAACCAAACTCCAGGTAGTTTCAAGTCCCCACACCTACAGGCATGATCCCTCCCACCTTCCCCCAACTCCTCCTTCATCCCTGACCTTCCCAAACCACTTCCCCAATGTCTCCAGCTCACTCTTCCAGTCGCCTGCCTGGCATAGGCAGCTCCCTCACACACTACCTTTCCCCTGCTCATCCATTCACTTCACTTCTTCTAAGGGCATTCCTCTGTCCTGTTCCTGCTCTCCTGGCCCCCAGCCATACCTAGCCCTACCTGGCCCTGGGACTTTCTCACTTGCTAGCAAAAAAGGCCCCTACAGTTACCAGGGCCCCCAGTGCCACGGCCCCTGTCAGCACTGTCCTCACTGATGCCCAGTTCCCCTCCCGCAGACGCCGAGCCTCCTCCAGGGCCCCGTCCCCGTATAGAGCTGTGAACTCCGCCTGTGGGAGAGAAGGGAAGTAGGAGAGAAAGGAGAAAGGGATATCAGGAGAGGAAAGAGTGGAGAGAAGAGGAGAGGAAGAGTTCCAGTTCCATCCACTGCAAGCACTACCCTACACCCAGTTCCTCTCCAGCCAAAGCTCTACTGTTCAGAAGCCCCTCTGATCTCCCAGGGTGCACCCCCCTACCCTGAGTGCCAGGCTCATTTGCCCTCTCTACTTCAAGTGAACCCCATCCTTTCATTGCTGAAAAATTCTGCTCAGAACTGGTATCCTTCACTAAGACTTGCCTCACCACCACCCATCCCTGAACTTTCCCACCTCCCATACCAAGTACTCAGTATAAAAAGTTCCTGACACCATTTCCCTTCAGGCACTCCTCAGGTACTATGTATCTGTCCTCTGCTTGGGACTATGAGCCCACCCAGTGATTACTGCATGGCAGCACTGGCGTGCAGAGTCTGATGTGATGCCCACAGTGAAGCATCTCTCAGTCTGATTCCACCCAAACAGGGAGACTCAGCACCCAGGCCTCATTCCCAACACAGCTGCCCCAGCCTCCAATCAGAGCCCCTGTCTTCCCACCTGGAGACAGCTTTGCAGAGGGACATGCAGAGCGGCAATTGAGAAGCTGCTTACCCAGCCACCACTGCTATGGATCCAGTCAGCCAGCCGTGTCTCCAGGTAGGCTACCATCCACTCCTGCACTTGTCCCACCAGTGGCTCCATCTCCTTGTTGACACTCTCAGCACACAGTGCGGCCCCAAAGACGAAGAAGGCCACAAGGCGGCCCCAGTTGGGGCCCCCTTGGAAAAGTTCATCAGAGACCTGGGTGAAGCGTTGCTGGGCTGAGCCTGGGGTCACATGTAGCTGAGCTGCCAGATCAGAGAAGGTACGCCGGAAGCGGGTCTCGAACTCATCTCCAGCTGCCCGCATGGCTTGGTGCAACGGGTCAGTTGCTGGGCCCTCCCCTGGGCCAGCTCCACAGACATAACCCTTCTGCCTCAGCTTATAGCCTACAAAGTCTGCCACCAGAGCCCGTGTGTCTGGGGCTGAGGCTGGGGTCGCCATCCGGGCGGCTATAAGAGGCAAGGGTGAAAGACTGGCATAAATATATGAAGTATGTGGACAGAGATCCAGAAGGGTCATTTCCGGTCTGGCCAACCCAGTGAGATAGGGAGCAGGGAGGAAATGCTTAGAGACCACTGGGCAGGAAGGGGCAAGAAGGGAATTAACTCACGGTGTGGAGCCACGGCATAAGGCCCTGGCCATTGATTTCATAATATGCCAAATTAAACACAAAACAAGTACATTTTATGTTTAAAATACTTTAGGTTGTTTTTATAATAAGAAAACACAAGCTCTTATGACACCCCTACCTCCCACCTTACTCCATAGTCCACACCTTCTTGGCTAGAGGAAGAGACTTAAGACTTCCCCAGAAGCAAGATGAGATGTTGGCAGAGACACAAGATGGGGAGGTGACAGGAACTGAAAAGAAAGGTAGGAGAAGCAAAGGGCTTCCTGGGACAGAAAAAAGAAGGGGTCACTCACCCAGCCTGGATGGTAGCTCTTAGGACCCAGCACTTGTGGCAAGGAGCCCCCAGCTGGGGCCTTTCATCCTCCCGGCCAGCTTGGAGCCCTGGGAAGAGGAGGGGGAGATCAGAACTAGGTAGAGAAGCCCAGGGATCAGGGTCTACCCTGAGAAGGTTTGGGGTTGCAGCTCCTGGGCCTGGGCCCCTGCCTCTAACGCTCTACCAGCTGTGTGGCCGAATCCATGTTTAATGACTGTCCTCCCGGGAAACCCAGGGCCAAGGGCTTCCAGCCACACCATCTCTACTCCCGGCTCCCCCCAGTGCTGCCCAAAGGCCCAGCTCCTCCCTTACCCCCACCTCAGCCTGTCTCCAACCCCGCTCGCCTGCCAGGTTAGGGATCTCACGGGTCAGGCCGCTGCCGGGATCCGGGCCGTTTCCTGGTGCAGGAGCTGGGAGGGAGGGAGAGAGGGAGGAAGGGAGGGAAGGAAGGAGGGAGGAGAAGGGGGGGGCAGGAGGGAGGGCCCGGCGCTGGGTGATGATGGGGCCCAGAGATGCGTCCAGAGAGAGGGGCGGGGCTGGAGGCAGGCCTGGGAAGGGCCACAACTCGGGAAGAGAGAGGGCTGCTGAAGGCAAAGAAAGGCTGGATTGAGAGGACACTGCAGGTCAGGCTGGGCTGGAGTCTTGAGACTGCCCAGAGAAGTGCACTGGGCCTCAGGACACCTAGGAGCAAATTCTGCATTTCTGGAATGTCTCTGATGTTCCATGCACTTGTTGAACTTTTCCAGCTCTGGATTGTGTGCCTGGAAAAGAGGAGTAGCTCCCATTACACTGAGAACTGTCTGCCAGGTGCCTAACCCTTGTGGGACACCACATGGACACAAAACCTTTCCTTTTATCTTTTCTCTAAGACCTTTAATCCAATGGTCTCTTCGAAGGCTAGGGCCTCAGCCAGGCTTCAGGGAGTCAGGACTTGGATCAGGAGCAGTTTTTGCAGGTACTTTCCTCCCTCTTCTTCGTCCTCCCCCTTCTCCCTCTCTTCTTCTTCTAATATAATCCTATTGAGTTTATTTTAGTTTTTTTTACCCAGCACATGAATTCATTGTTTATGAAAAAATCAGACAATGTAAAGGTTCATGACCTTTAAGTCAGTGACAAGGTTTTTAAAAAAGAGGTACAGGCTTAGTGCCTGTGGCTCAGGTGGCTAAGGCGCCAGCCACATACACCTGAGCTGGCGGGTTCAAATCCAGCCCGGGCCCACCAAACAACAATGATGGCTGCAACCAAAAAATAGCTGGGTGTTGTGGTGGGCGCCTGTAGTGTCAGCTACTTGGGAGGTGGAGGCAAGAGAATCACTTGAGCCCAGCAGTTGGAGGTTGCTGTGAGCTGTGATGCCATAGCACTCTACCCAGAATGACGATTGAGGCTCTGTCTCAAAATAAATAAATAAATAGAGGTACAGAGTAATAAAATACAAGTTCTCAAATACATACTCTCCTGCACACCCAATTCCATTTCCCTCCCTGCAGAATGCCAATGTCAAGGGTGTTGTTTTATCTTTCCAGATTACAAACATATGCCTATTATTTATAAATGACAGTATATTCACATAGCGCAGTTCAGAGGACATGAAACAGTCTGACCACAGCTGATCCCCATGAGGGCATGCACAGGCATATCTAACTGGCATCCTAGGCCAATGGTTCTCAACCTTCCTAATACCTGAGGGAATTCTCTTGCTTCAGCCTCCCCAGTAGCTGGGACCACAGGCACCTGCCACAAGGCCCGGCTATTTTTTGTTGCAGTTTAGTGGGGGCTGGGTTTGAACCTGCCACCCTCAGTATATGAGACTGGTGCCCTACTCACTGAGCCACAGGCACCGCCCTAGGCTGCCAACTTTTATTTATGAGGCTCTGGTTTCTTTTAAGACATTTTCTAGAAATAAGAAACATATTTCAGATAAAATGTCTTAGAAGATTCACGTTTTTGTCTGCCCATTTATTTATAAGTTCCTTAAGAGCAAGAACTGAGTTTTAGGGCGGCGCCTGTGGCTCAGTGAGTAGGGCGCTGGCCCCATATACTGAGGGTGGCAGGTTCGATCCTGACCCCAGCCAAACTGCAACAATAACAACAACAACAGAAAAAACAGCCAGGCATTGTGGTGGGCGCCTGTAGTCCTAGCTGCGCAGGAGGCTGAGGCAAGAGAATCTCCTAAGCCCAAGACCTGGAGGTTGCTGTGAGCTGTGATGCCATGGCACTCTACCAAGGGCAATAAAGTGAGACTCTGTCTCAAAAAAAAAAAAAAACTGAATTTTACTCATTTTTGTGTCCTCATAGCTTAATGGGCCCTCAGTAAATGTTGATTTGAATGAATCAGTCAATGCCTCTGGGCCAGTTATTGAGCAGTCCCAGCTAGATGTTTGAAGATTACTACAGTAGCTGTTTAAGAAAGAAAGACTAGTTTAGAATAAAGGTTCAATGTTAGTCTCAACCAAGCAAACAGACCTGCTGGACCAAACACAACTTATGCCTGGTTCAAAGGTATGTATCTCAAGGATCTTCTCAGACTAAGACACCAGAGCCTAGGGATGGCGACTCAGCCTATAAAAAAGGCAAGGGAGCCTTTACCAGAAATCCTATACCGATACAGGTTGGCCTTGAACCTTATCTATTTTACTTTAGTGATCCATGTTTTTTTTTCTTTGTGGCTTAAAAAATGTTTTTTAGGCTCGGCGCCTATAGCTCAACCGGCTAAGGCGCCGGCCACGTACACCTAAGGTGGCGGGTTCAAATCCCCAGCCTGGACCCGCCAAACAACAATGACGGCTGCAACCAAAAAATAGCCGGGCGTTGTGGCGGGCGCCTGTGGTCCCAGCTACTTG